GTCCTGTTCTGTTTTTTTTAAAAAAGTAAGGATTCCAAAATTGGGAATCAACTTGTATTTGATAAATGTGATCTATACTAGGGCTTCACATTTAAATGTCTTCACTGGTCTTCACAATGTTCTTTGTCTATAGTGCAATTTTTTATCATTTTTCATATAAATGATTTTAGTTATATANGTGTAAAAAGTATCACATTAGGCTGATTTTTAACAGCAAAACAAGATTTTTCTCAAGGTCATAAAATACACACGAACTTATGGACTGACCTGATAGTAATTCTTGCATTCTGTTCTATAAGGGTGTGGGAGATATGGGTTGAAAGTGGTTGACTTCGAAGATGTGTAACAATGGAAGTGTCAACAATAGAAGTGTTAATATAAAGTGGCATGCAAGATTTACAGGCGGTTTTTGCGTTTTTGCGGGAAATCGAACATATTTTAAAATCGAAATAGAAAATTTTCGAAGTCAACCACTTTAAGCCCCCATATCTCCCTTATAGCTATCGAGACGCAACCACCATAGTGGAATGGAGACTTGGAGCTACTACCACATACAAACACCATTCATATGCGATGTGTAGTTTTGGCTGAAAAGTGAAATATAGGGACACACACGTCCATTTTTATATATAAAGATATAACATGCAGAACAAGTTGTTACATATGTATATAAAATTTGTGTGTATGCAAATATAATATCAACATCACTAGCATTTAACCTAAAAATAATAGGTATCTTATTTACAGTGTTTCTATACATAGTTTATTAATATTAACTATCTGTGAATAAATTTGGAGAATTACAAAATTATAGTTACTATAATAAATTATTTTTGTAATACCAATTACCGTTACATTTTTGCTTAAATGAATATTATCACCAAATATGTACAAATTGCTGTAATATTTGGTATTTGTGTTGAAGTCGGTTATATATATCCTAACCAGTCAAATTAATTAATAGTTGAATTTTTTATTGAATATTTAAATTATTAATCAATATTTTATTGTTGTACATCTTAAATTTCTCAACTTGACAAATATTGGACTTATGATACAGGAAATGATTTTAGAAGAGTGGGTCTAAAACCATATCCTACATGATAAGTCCAATATTTGTCAAGTTGAGAAATTTAACAAGTACAAATTGAATGAAAGGACAAGAAGCTCTGAACACGCTATTTAATTGTTCTGGGCTGCTCTTTATTAATTTATTACTGTAATAAAGGTTTGCAATTTATATTTGCTATATGAATCAATTCTACTTTCAGAAAGACAAATATGAAACTGAATTACCATCCATCATGCACATTTAATATTGCATATGTTGCATTGTTTATTTTTATTTTTTCTTAATTAAGGAAGAAAACAATATAAATAATAGCATGCTTTGCTAACCATAATTTTTTTTTGGTTTTATAATAGTTTGTTTATATAAATTTAACTCACACAAACTGGGATTAACATTTATGTGGAAAATGAGATTTTGAGGTTATATATTTACTAGTGATGTAACGAATATTCGGCCACTATTCGGTATTCGGCCTGTTCGGCTTATTTTTCGCTATTCGGCCGAATACCGAATATTTAATCACTATTCGGCCGAATACCGAANCCATGTTCTTTTGAAAATAAAGATTAGCTTCAGTTAAGACATTCTTTCAATGAGCTAGTATAAACATATTTTCATTAAAACTTATAAGAATTTTGATATACAGTAATTTCTTCTCATCTTAATTAAATTTATCTTTTTGATATGTTGTGTAACATTGTTAATGATTTTCTTATAATTATTTTTAAATATTTATTGCAAATTTAATATATAAGTCTTTTTTCCTTCTGCTTATAATTACAGTAGACTCTTGCTAAGTTGGACTTTGTTTAAATTAGACAAAATTTTTGAAAAAAGTAAATTAAAATATTAAATGAAAATTAGTGGCAGCTTGTCTGCAGTCTCCTCAACTGAGCATGAGCTGTGCCACATTACATCTGCATCTCTTGATATGATTTACAAAAGACAATATACTATATATATTGTCTTTCCAAAAGCAGAATATAATATATTCTGCTTTTGGAATATTCAAATGTTCAAAACAGCTGCCGGACCTCTTCATAACTGTTAAAAAGACTTCAGTTTTGAGAACAATTAGTCATTCGGGACCAGGTCAGGACTGGATCAGTGAAGTTCAGTGAAGTTGCATTCTTTAATGGCAGCCTTCATACAAACTGCAGTTGTGAACAGGTGCATCGTCACAGAGTAGCCTTACATCTTTTAAAAGTTTACACTTCCTTTTCTTTTATGGTATCTTGGAGTTTCATCATTAGGTTGGCATAATAATCAGAATTCAGCATAAAATTTCTCTTTTAATTGATCAATAAAATGTCATCACAATCCTAGAAAATCATATCCCTAACCTTCTTTGTTGACTAATATTTTCACCTTTTTTGGAGATTTTCATACATGGTGCCATTTCATCAATTCTCTTTTGGACAGATGTTCATAGTATATAACTGTGGTCTCATCCTCTAATTCCAGTGATGGATTGTAGAACTTCTTTTCCTTTACAGAATTCCAAAAACTGTTGAGTGCAGTTGACTTACTGTGCTTCTGAATTACAGAAAAAATTTTGGGCATAACATGCACTGATCTTGTTCATTAATAAATGTTTGTGAAGAATTCAAAGAACTGTTGTTTTTTGACAAGTTCAATTTGCAGAAATTTCTTTTGTTTTCAAATGTTTATTAGAAAGCACTTCATCTTTAACAATTGCAATGCTTTCTTTAGTGATCACTGTGTGGGTTGAGGGATTCTCTTTCAAGTTTAAAAAGTTTTGTTTATTGTTTTACCTTTGAATATAATGAAGCAGTCACTGTACACATTATGAGAGTGTTTAAGAATTTTCAATGGTGTCTAACCTTTTATTATCAAGAAGTTTATAATGATGCTCAAAATTTGACATAGTGCATACAGGTTATGTTAAGCCATATTATCTGATGTGGGATAAGAGTATAAGAATGCAACTGAGGGCACTAGTATCTCAAATGTTAATGTTCACAGTATCACCACTTAAATTTTTCTGCACATGCATGATGTAGGTCAGGCCAAGAACATTTAAACCTTACTACATAAAGTTTGTTCTAACATATTGTGAAAAAGAAATTTTCTGCACTTTGTCTTAATGCAGTTGAAGACATAAAAATAGTTATCACAGATTTCTTTAATGACTTCCAATCATTAACATGCAATATAATCAGAAAAACAGGGAGAATAATTAAAATTTGTTTAGAGAATGGAGAGAAATGGAATAACTTTTAACTAGCCTACATAAAGATTTTGTATCACTTGGTAATAATTGAATTTGATAGCAATTGCTACTTTTTTCTGCTCAGCCTTTCTGAATAAATCCTATTGTGCTTCTTTTGAAGCTTTAGATATGTTTTATTGAATTTTTTACAGGAAATTTGTAAGATTTTTTAATTCCAAATGCACTTTTGCCACAAAATGCAATTCCACAGTTTATTTGGTGGTGCTAATTTCACTAATCTCAGTACAGTACATAGTCATCAAGGCTATAGAATCTTCTTTTCCAGAATTTTGTGGCTACAGAATCAGATTTCTAGTAACAACTATACACTGAGAACTAAACCAAATACAGTTGACCTCCCATAACCTGGTAGATATGTTTCAGTTTTTATGAAATCCATTCTCTACAAGTCTTTAAATACATGAGCCAATCACAGTCTGGCTCATATGCAGTTTATGGACTACGGCTGTTTGAAGGGTTTTCTTCCATAAAATTAATCGATTCTAGACTAATTCGACTCAACATTTCCAAAATACGTATAATTTTTTGGGAATAATCCATATAAACTATGCTATAAACAAAAAATTGTAGGATTACTTACTGAGTGTGCACCGTTCGACGACGCTATTGCTTAAGCTTGTTTTTGTTGTGGAACGGTGCATCGAATGGCGCTCGTGTGCTTCCTGATAAATTATTTTTCTGCAAAAACTTTGCTGAACTTTAGAGACATCATTAATATAAATATAATTTTTATGGACGTTAAATAATAAATGGTTTTTAGTAGGTCAGCTGCTCATTTAAATTTAACAGTTTGTGCAATATCTGCTATTGGTCTAGATTCAACCAATCCTATCACGATACAAGTCAGCGATGACATTTTACCGAATTATATGAGTCTCTTTTAGCGTGTTTATACGAATACAATCTCAATTTTTCGTCGTCATATAGGAATCCGAACTATATGAACCCGTTTTATAGGGGGGTCTTTGTATATAATGTTACGCATCACAATATAGATCATTGTTTTTTTAATATTGAATCAATGCAAGTTTGATAGTGTATGAAGTAAGATTATTTAATGAAGAAACACTGTGTAACAAATTTTGGAGATTGAAAAGTTAAATAGTACCTATAAGAAAATGTGTGTAAAATTTAAGGGCAGTTGAAAACAATAAAACAAAACAAAATGAAGGATAAATAATGAATTGTATATATTTTTCAGTTTACTGAAGATTTATAACCATTGTAATTATCGAAAAATAATTGATTCTTGAAATTTTAGCAAAATATGAATTGGAGGCATTATGTTTGCAGAGATATTTCTTTTTCATTACTTTGGAACATATTGCTAATATGCATTAAAAAAATGAAACTGAATATTAGTAATTAGAGAAATGAGTAAAAGCATATATGAACATAAAAGGTTATGCTATTGACAAAGAGCTAAAACAAATATAGATAAAGTTAAGTGTAAATGATGGAGGTTTTTTGAATTTTTAATGAATTTATGTAATTTATTTATTAAACAATGAATGCTTGAATTTTCTTTTTCTGTCAATTATAATTTCATATAATAATTGGAAAAATTACTATTTGTTAACTTTTATTTAATTAAGTTTAATAAATGTATTAAGATGAATATGTTATAAAATATAGCATATCTAAAACTACAGAGTATAATTTTTTTTTCTTCAGATTATGACAAATGTTTGGATTTTCTAAGTAAAACAAAAGAAAAAGTAAGTTTTGTTTTGATGTCATGAATAAAATGAATATTTTAAATTAAAATTTATGTGATAACCATTTATAATGAACAATTAACTGCATTCAAATTGTCGCTTCGTAAGCTTAACAAAATTATAAAAAACATAGGATTAATTTTGCTATGACTTTTATAAATTATTAAATTTTTGTTTGATTAGGTTAAAGAAAATACAATGGCAGTAATCCTTTGTAACATTATAATTGGCCAGATTAAATTAAATCATGGAGATTTAGAAGGAGTAAAGGTAAATTAATTATATATATATATATATCTAATTATCAAATGTTGATATGATTTAACTGATTTACAAATAAGATTTTTAAGTATAAGAATTCCAGTTTTTGTAGAAATTTTAAGTAAAACATTGTGGGAGAAAACTTAAATAATGAATATTTGTATCATGCAAAATCATTATTACTAGAAAATATTTTAGTCAAGAACATGTTAAAAACATTCATATGAAAATAGTATATTACTTGCACATATTTGGAATGTAAAAATAATTAGTTTTATTTTTTACTACAGTAATATACAAAAAATAAAACTGCCTAGAAAAAGTATGCTTCCTTAAAGTTAACATGAAATGACCATTGGAGAATCTGATCTAAAGCAATTTTTTTAACCTACAATCTTGAAGTGGAAGTGATTTTTTTCACATCTAATTTTTTGTGGTCATTTTTTATCAAATTGACCTACATAGTTGTGCTTCCATGATATCCTCATGCTACATGCTATCCATTTAACTATCTAAAAAATTTTTTCACTTATCACAGACTCTCAAAAAACCACTGTGGAAAATCATCACCTTGCACATAAAATTGTGCACAATTTATCTTTATTGTCACATGATTTCCCGCATAACATGATAATTTTCTTTCTAACATCATCAAAAATGACTTACAGGGATTGTCATAAGAGTCATAACTTCATAGATGTTTGGCAGCTGTTCATGGTGTAAGGACATGGTAGTCTGAAATTTGCTGTGACCTTGAATGCTTGTCTCCATAAGATAGCCTAGAGACAAGCATTCAACAGTTTAAATGTTTTCACAGCTTTATTTTGTGCCCAAAAAATACAGAAAAAACATTTTCTCATTTGTCTGAAAAATACCTCAGTCCTCCTCATCATTTATTTCCAGTTGTAAACTTATTTCACATTAACCCATGCTATTACAAAGTTTGAAGGATTCCTACAGAAGAAGAGCCAAGGACATTTTCTGCAAACCAAAACCAATTTATAATGTTAAAATTTTGCATCTGTAGAAAAGACATATTATAGGAATTTTCAGAATAGTCAAATTTGAAGAACAATGATTACTTTCAGCATAATTACACATGCAAAGTCAATGGAAAATTGTTGCATTACACATGTTAAAAAATAAATGTGTGATGTGGGTGAAAGAAACTGCATACACACTCATTTATGAATGTAGACCACCTTAAAAGAATAGAAATTTCAGTTAGCATACATATAATTACCAAGGTTGAAAAACTTTGGTTTGTAATTGATCTATCATTTTCAGAATCAGAATTGAAAAGGGAATTTACTATAAATAGAAAATAGTGTGTGTAAAAATCTTTTGATTTTAAGATGAATACAAGGTGATGGTTAGTATCCCATTCTGACTGTCTTCTTTCAAGATCATTTTCAACATATCAGATGGTCAAAGTTTTATTTTGCACAAACAAAATAGATATACAGTGGAACTGTGCATAACAAGCAAAGCAAACTGTGAAAAAGTGAGTTTCTTAACGAGCAATGTTTTGCGTAATGAGTGACCAGGAGAGGGAAAGTCCCGGATTGTGCATATGTTCCATCTGTGTTTAGCACTTGTTCCGCTAGCATCTTAGTGTCACTTGTGATCACACATTTTTCCAAACTTGTGTTCAAACTCATTACATATAAACATTAACAATCATAGCCTGTTATATAATAAACATGCCAAATGATATGCCAAATTCTTGGGCTATGTAAAAGGCTATAATTAAATATTAGAAATTAAATAATTTGACTAGAGGTAGACAGTTATGCTGCTATCTCGTACTAAATGTAATGACCAATTCCAAATTAAATTTTAGAAATGTCTAAATTAAAAATTTTTATAATTATTAAATTTAATACGAACTAGAAGCATAACTGCCTAGCTCTAGTCAAATTATTTAATTTATAATATTTAATTATAGACTTTACATAGCCCAAGACTTAGGCATATTGTTTGGCGTGTTTATCAGACATATTACATGAGATTTCCTCCCCCCCCTTCAAATTGAATTCGCATTCCAGGTTGGTTCATTCCATGCTAGAAAAAAGATGATGATGATTTACACTCCTTAACAATGTATATTGTATAATTTTCTTTGAATAAACATTATACATAAAATATTTGAGGTTTTTTTTACATGAAACACATTATCATATTTTACATTAATTTATATGGGAAAAATTGTTTTGCTTAATGAGTGTTTTGAATTACAAGTAAGATTCTGGAACAAATTATGCTCATTAAATGAGGTTCCACTGTATTAATAAATGTAATAACCAAAAAAATTATATTTCGAAAGTTAGTTTTAATATAAAAATTATAACTAGCAACATCTAGTTTCAAAAATGCTCTGATGCTGAAATGAGATTTCTCAAGTCAACTGGTTGAGGTCAGAGGTCATGACCCCGAGATATCTTGTGAATAACACAGGTCAGGTTAAGTTTGCTCATAAAAGTAGTAAATAAAACAAAATTTTAAATCAAACTGATTATTGAAATAATATTATGAATTCATTATATTTGTTATCAAACATTTTTTTTTCCAAGTCCTATTATCTGATTAGTATTTAAAATATTTAAATAAAAAATTGGTGATACAGTAGAGCAGTGGTTCCCAACCTTTTTTCGTTAGCGTACCCCGTGACATGTCATATCTCTAGATTGTACCCCTCATTTAAGAAATTTAGTGAGTAACCGTATTGTTAATTTTACATATTGTAACTTTAAATTAAAGAAAAAAAACCTAAAAGAAAAAATGTATAATAAAGTTGTGATTGTTGCAAGGAACATTTTTTATCTAATAATTTTTTAATACTATTAGTTTGTGATACATAATATATTATTTTTTCTGCCATAATAACTAACTTTTTTCTGTACCCCTAAACAACCTATCGCGTANTCATTAATTTTCATTTTCATGTAGTAAAGGCTCTATGCCTTCATAAAGGACATACTTTTCCTTTGTTTAAGGTTATTTGGGCAGTTTATTCTCTGTTGTATTCTCAAGTAAACAATACATACAAGTACAGTACAGTATTTTCTGAGGAAACACTCGTACTTATTTTTTTTAACCCCATTCCCAATAACCCGGCATTTTCACAAACTCGGCCACCCTTCGGTCCACATTAGGCCGAGTTTTCAAGACTCTACTGTACTAGATTAACTTCTAAAGTATAATTTTTTTTGTTTTTATATTTTTCAATATATTTATTTTGTTTGTAAAAAGTAAAGAAATAATTTTTAACGATACAATAGCCATGATTATTATTTTAAAAAGTTTACTTTAGGCTTAACATCGACGAAAATTTAACACAATGCAACACACAACGGAGAAAAATTTCAATATGGGATAGGTTAATATATTTTTTCATACATAATCAGTTATCCAAAAAATAAGTTATCCGAACAATATATTTATTTTGTTTGTACAAAATAAAGAAATAATTTTTAACGATACAATAGCCACAATTATTATTTTAAAAAGTTTACGTTATGCTTAACATCGACGAAAATTTAACACGAAGCGACATGCAATGGAGAAAATTTCAACATGGGATAGGTTAATATATTTTATTGTACATAATTGATTATCCAAAAAATAAGTTATCCGAACAACCCCAGTCCCCAATTGATTCGGATAAACAACGCTCTACTGTATATTAAAAATTTGTAATTTTTTAAAATTATTTCAGAAACTTGTAGAAGAAACAGAAGAAATGATTGAATCATTAGATGGTATTACAACAGTACATGGTCGCTTTTATCAACTATGCAGTGACTATCATCGTGTAAAGAAAAATTATGCATGCTATTACAGAGATGCTCTTCGTTTTCTTGGATGTACAGAACTTGAAACTATTCCATGTATGTTGTATACTTATTTGTTAACTTGTTAAAAATTTAGTATTCATAAATGTATTTACTTTGTTCAAAAAATTTCATATAATTAATTTCATGATGACTTACTAATCTGGAAATATTTCAAAAATCAATCAATTTGATTTTTTTGTGATTACTTAAAGAACTTTTATCATAGTTTTTTTATTTATAACTAGCTGCAAGGACCCGCTTTGCTGGGCAAAAAGTAACGATAGTGAAGATTAAGATAATTACATTATAGCCAATCTTACCCGTTTTCACAGAATGCAAGAATTAGGCCCCCCGTTTCCAGACTAATTAGAGAACTTTTACACGAGTCTAAAAATATGTTCGATTTCCCGCAAAAAATCGCCTGTAAATCTTGCATGCCACTTTATATTAACACTTCCTTTGTTACTCAACACTTCCACTGTTAACACTTCTATTGTTGACACTTCCATTGTTACACATCTTCGAAGTCAACCACTTTCAACCCATATCTCCCACACCCTTATAGCACAGAATGCGAGAATTACTAATTAGAGCATTTTTACGTCCAGTCAAACAAACTATTTTCAATTTGATCAATTTTCTGGAACGTTTATAATCGTTCTATAATCGAACCAATTCAAATTTAAATTCGAATTGGTTCAATTATAGAACAATTATAAACGTTCCAGAAATTGATCAAATTGAAAATAGTTCGTTTGACTGGACGTAAAAATTCTCTAATTAGTCTGGAAACGGGGGACCTAATTCTTGCATTCTGTGAAAACGGGTAAGATTGGCTATAATGTAATTATCTTAATCTTCACTATCGTTACTTTTTGCCCNATATTATATTTTTTCTACAAAACATAAGCACCTTTGGGTACAATTTTCCAATCAATTTGATGTGATTTAAATTCAATTAGTAAAAATTACTAAGAAAGCAATAAAAAATTTATGCTGATTGTATTACAAATATCTGAGAATCAAATTAATGAAATAAGAAACAAGAATGATGAAAATGAAAATTCTGAAGTACTGTTTCAAAGAGGTTAACTTATATTTTGGTCCTGTTCTGTTTTTTTTAAAAAAGTAAGGATTCCAAAATTGGGAATCAACTTGTATTTGATAAATGTGGTCTATACTAGGGCTTCACATTTAAATGTCTTCACTGGTCTTCACAATGTTCTTTGTCTATAGTGCAATTTTTTATCATTTTTCATATAAATGATTTTAGTTATATATATTAATTCAATAACCGCAAATAAAAAAAATGCTAGTGGCATAACAAAATAAAATGTAATTTAACATAATGTAAAACAAATTAATAATAAACATCTTTAAAAATAAGCAGATGACATTTAAATTTATCAGTCTCTTGGATTCTATGGCTTTCTGTGAGGATTTGAAGGAAGGTTGAGCTATGACACTTTGAAGCATTCAGTATATATATATATACTGAAAAGTATAATTGAAAGTGAAAAGAAACATCAAGCATTCTAGCAGATAAATATAAAAAAAAACCAAATATAGTTTTTTTTTATATTTTTCTACTAGAATGCTTGATGTTTCTTTTCACTTTCAATTATACTTTTTCTTTTTTTTTTATTTCTTGTTCTTCATCTGTGAGCACTAAGAGGTCCTTATTATCAAGCCCATTGTGGGTTCAGTCAAGCCCACAATGGCTGGGTGGTAACAGAACCCAACATATCTAGGACAGATTTCCCCCTAAAAATTCCTGTAGTTTTTTGACTTGTCTGGATTTGCTTCCAGGTCTTCAGAGCAGTAAGGCTAACACCTTAAGTGCTTGGTCATTTGGCAATGAAATTTTAATATATAAATGGCTTGCTGTATGTTATATTACAAATGTAATTCCGTCTCTGTAATCCAAAAACATACTTTGGTAGATGTGTCTCACAGCAATTTCTGGTTAGCAAATTAGTTTTTATTTTCCATTGAACTACAAATATATTTCGGGTTGGTATAATGTACTCCACCCCTCTTCAGTGATTTCCATCCTCCTGTATTTTCAAATACAGGTTTAAAGATGAGGAAGGTTTGCCCTCCCAATCCCTATTTTGAAAACAAAAAAGAATTTTTTGTAATTTACATAATGTGGAAATCACTGAGGAGGGGGGTTGGAGTACATTATACCAACCTGAAATATATTTGTAGTTCAATGGAAAATAAAAAATAATTTGCTAACCAGAAATTGCTGTGAGATACATCTATCAAAGTGTGTTTTTCGATTACAGAGACGGATTTACATTTGTAATGAAATTTTAACTTTCAATTATATCATTTATTTTTTTCTGTAAGAAGTTTGTTTATGCTCAAACATTTCATATGAGTAAATCAATCAGCGTGACAATATATCTTTATTATATTAGATATTTTATTAATTAATATGTCATGTTTTTAAAAATGTTGTTTTGTGTAATGAAAAAATTTATCATTAACTATCTAATATTTTTAGGTAGAACTGTTGGTGATGAAGGCTCTATCATTGGGTTTGGTAAAGGGTTCCATAGATGGAGTGGATAAGAAAGTACATATGCACTGGGTTCAGCCAAGAGTTTTGGATAAGCAACAGGTAAAATTAGTTTCATTCAAATAAATGAAATTATACTATATGTGGGGACTAATAGTATTACAGACTTGTATTAATTATGTATTTAATAACAGACTAAATCTACTCTAAGTTTATTTATTTATACATGTAAATTTATCATTTCAAATCTTCTGCAGATTGCATCCATGAAACAGCAATTGGAGCGTTGGTGTCGAGAAGTGAAATCTACAGAAAATCTGCTTCAAGCTGAAGCTCGAGATATCTTGACCTAAACTGTTGTCAAACATTTTCAGTTTGTATAGAATTTGTCACGTTTCTCATTTTCAAAGATATTAAAATAATGTTTTATATATTATTATGGAATTTTTAATTATGATTAATATTATAACTGCTAAATTTCAAAACAAAAAGTTCTTTTTCTGTATCCAGCTTTGCTGTCATAATAGTAGAGAAATTTTTTTTTTTTACAAAAACTAAAATGTGTGTTATTTTATTATTAATAACAAGTCATATACTGTTTTAAATTGTTTGATTCTTACTGTTTATAAGTCATTTAGCATAAATTTCAAACAAAGATTAATTTAATTTTAAATTTAAAATTGTAGAGATTTATTATTATTCAAATACAGAATCAAATACTAAATTTTTGGTATTTTCTGATACATAATTTTTACTAGTATATAAAATTTTACACAGAATATGCAACAAATAATCATAACTCTGAGTGGCTTTCTTAACCTGAAAACAAGTTAAAAGGATTATTTGAAGAGCTGTCAAGCTGATAGTATATTTGACAATGTGTGTTCAGAGAAATATCTTCTAAGGTTTGTTTCTGACCAACTGGCTCTTAATCAGTTACCATTTATGTAGTTGTGCAATAGTTATAAATTGGGTATTAGGTAAATTCACACGACCTTTTTTAACTTATTTTCAAAGTAAAGAATCTGTTTCCAAAGTTACGACAATACATTGTGAAGTATTCCATATTAAAAATATCATAAAAGATAGTACTTTATAATTATCTCTATTCACATTTAGTTGGATGGACAGAGAAAAAAATAACACCTGCATTATAAGTAATGGACATGCACATACTAGGTGAGCAGGCAGATGAAGAGCTGGGATGAAGCCATCTGGTATTCTCTCTAGGAGGGACAACAAATCCATCCGTCCACTTGGAATCAACCAGGTCACTAACTCAGATTCCTAGTTCCTTAATAACAAGTCATATACTTCTTGGCATTTCACTTATTAACAGAAATCGCATCAATTTTTTCTCTTCCTTTTTGAGGGGGTTACACTGTCATTTGTCCATTTTTTTTATCATAGCAGACTCGAATTTCACTACTACAAAACTACATAACTTACATTTACAACACTTATAACGGATAGCTCACCACCACTAATTCTTCACGGATGTTATTCATACTGAAAAAACGTTTTGTCTGAAAACTTTTCTTCCCGTTAAATTATGCTCTACCTACCACTGAAATGCCACCAAGTGGGAGCACACCTATGCTATTTCTCCCCCTCCGCCCTTTGCTTAAGTGTACACTTATCTTTATCACACATTTAATTAATCATGATGAATAAATCATGCATGCATCTCATGATTTAAATATGAATTTTCAAGTCTCTAACTTATCTGATAGAGATGACAACGAATAAGAGATAATACTCATCAGGTTTTTGATGATCCGGTAGTATTAAATATAGTGCTTATAGATAGTAGTGGCTTAACACGGTAAGCAAGTAATGCGTTGCATTGTGCCCTGAGTCCAGAAATTAAAAATCTTGAGGGTGGTCATACTTTCCCTCATATATAACGGAACCGGGAAAGTAAAAGGAAGATAATCTGACAAAAAAACTCTGAATTTTGAATTTGTGTTTCAGAAATTTTTATTAAGTAGCGAATTAAATTTCAACTTTACTACTACTACTACTACTACTACTACTATCATCTCCGAGCATATCTTGAAGAACACCATTTGATTTTGCGCAACACAGACCAGTCTGAAGTGGCTTAAGATCATCAGCCCCAGTTTCCCTTTCGTAAAAGGGAAAATTTTCCATGTACTGTACAGTACCTCTAAACGTCGATAAATTGAAAATAGTTTTAAAATGTTAAACTATTTCAACAAATTAAATAATCTGTAACAATTTTAAATAAATTATGAGAAGAAAATGTTTTGTATTTAATTAAATATTAGCGATAAGTGTTTACAATGCTGTAACTTATCCACAGAGATTACCTTTAGCATTTACTTCAACATATTCTAGAACGGCCGAGGCTTTTGAGGCGTCAGCCTAGAGCTCTGGGGATCCGGGATCGAATTCTGCCAGCAAATCCCCAAGAATTTTCGTGGGAGGTCATTCCCGGATATAAATGTTCCTCTCCTCACCACCGGCCGCCGCAGTTATGGACATGGCCGAACTCCCGATGCGTATAAATAAAAAGGATCTTTCAATTTTCTCCGCTATGTTAAGAGCAGAAAGAGAAAATATATACTGATTTTGTTTCTAGAATAAATATAAACATTTAGTTTAAATTCTTTTATATACAGTAATACCTCGACTTACGCGAACCCGGAGTTTCGCGATTTTCAAATCTCGTCGATTCGTCTTTTGTTTGAGCGCCACGCAACTCTTGATTACTCCCCTCCCCCACACTATTGTTCAGCTTACATGTTGGGACGTGTCGCGCGGAATCGATGCATAGCTACAATTTATTTTGTGTTATTTATTTCTGTGTTTGTTATATCTACGGAGACTCGAGAGACTCTACTATGTCATCCAAACTAGGTAGAACTGATTCTTCCGCATCAAACAAGAAAAGAAAAACTTTATCTTTGGAATGTAAAGTTAACATTATTAAAGACTAAAGATTATTAAAGATACAAAAATGAAAATTTGTGAATTGGCAAAGAAGTTTGATCTACCGGAATCGACGGTCAGAACAATTATAGTAAGGAAAAAATTCTCGAAGCTGAGAAAAATGCTCAATCTTTAAATTCAAGCATCATTCGTAAACGTCACGGTATTATCGCTGAGATGGAAACAATGTTAAAATTATGGTGTGATAATCAAGTAAATGTGAAAAATTGTATTATAATATGATATGTTATATATATGTATTATCTAAGATTTTATTTAAAGAATTTTTTCTAAATTGTTTAGTCTCCGGACCCAATTAAAAATTATTTGTATGTATTTATACGCGAAATTAACCCCGACTTGCGCGAATTCGATTTACGCGGTTATCGCTCGGTCCCACCTATCTCGTAAGTTCGGGGTATTACTGTACTGAAAACAAATATTTGTTATTTTGATGGAAAAGCTACATGGATGGTATACTACATGGAAAAACTCAACTAGAAATAAGAATTATTTATTGTAATGTCGTCACAATGCCGTGCTGCAATTTTTAATTTATTTCATTTAAAATACATGCTCTCCACCCCTGTGCATCATACTTTTCCTTTAACAATAGAGTAGTGCCGATCTTCAATTAACTATTTTCAATAGAATGAACTAACGTCGTATATAGTTAATCGGGGTCGCCTGCCCTAAGATTTCCATATCTGGACTCGACTTTCATCTGGCTCCATTCTCGGGATTAAGGAAAGGCGGATGGACCAAGGTGGAAATTTATAAGTAATTTTTTTCAAATTGCAGCCCACCAAGGATAGAGGAAAGTGGTATATTTTCGCTACCCTTAAGGATGATAGATAACTCTTTAATTAAGGAAAATAGTAACTCCAGCCGATGCCCGTCGCATTACGAATACGAATCTCTAATTTTGTGGAATGGAACATTGTCCGTATTGAGAATAGCAAAATGAAAGTTCTCCCTCCTCGAATTTCGGAATAAGGTTTCCAGAAACTCCAGCTAGTCTTGATCATTATACAAAGTAAACTTATTATTTTACCCGAGATTTATTCGAAATACTGTTTTCAGTCGCTTACTCAGAATTTAATTTTAGCGGAATAGAACGTTATGTGACTGCTAATTCATAAGTAATATAGAAATAGTAGACACGACACAATATAAATAACATATCTTTTTTATTTAGAGTTTACCGAAAATATTTTCTTTTGTTTGTTTTCCTCTTGGAAGAGGCAAAGGGGCCGTGGCATCCTCCAAAAAAAAAGAACAAACACTATCCTCGAATTAAGTTAAAGTGCAGCTATTGTTTCTTTAAATTCGACATAACCAGGAGGAATTTGATCATAAGTATTTTTATCAAAACGCGCGCTAAATATTTATATACTGTATCTCTATACTTTGATGACAATTTTTATTCATTGCTCCTACTTTGTTTTTGATAAATGCATTAAATAAACATTGTGTTTGTTACTCTTCTTGATCTTGATTTTCAGATGGCTGAATGGTACAGTACTAGGCACAGTTTGTTTTCTTTTCCAACACGAACAAAGATTTGAGTCGAAGCGCTAGATAGTTGATGATAATTGTAATATATGTTGATGATTTAGATAAACATTAAATGTAATCTATACTACTATATAAAGAGACAACGTATTTTTCGTTTGTGACCACTAACCGTGAAAACTACTGGACCAATCATTACCAAATTTTAACTGTAGCATCTTTATGACCCCCGGAATGTTTTCCACTAATCAAACCTGCAGATTTTTTATTAATTAAAAGATAATCATTAAAAGATATCATCTAGAGTTAAGGCTTTTATCTCCAACAGATGGCGCTACGAGTATGACGCCCTAAGTTTGCTTTTCTGTGAAGATGAACTAAAGCAGATCATCATCTATCTATCTATATAAATAAAAATGTAATGTAAATTTTATCCTACCAATTCCTTTGAAATTTTCACACAACGCTGCATTCGAATACGCACGTGTTTTTATATAATATACATGTCGAAATTCCCCCCACTGGGGGGAGATGAACAGGAATAAGGCTTACCGTAAAGAACTCTGCTTCTATTTCTACTAATTTAGATGCGGTTTTTTGCGTTTTTGATTGCGTTTTAATAGGGTATGTCAACAGAATATACACTAAAAAGGGATTTTTCAATATTCCCCCAGGATTAAGGCTTATCTTGAAGAACTTGGCTTCTATTATACTATTTTAAATGCAGGTTTTTGCGTTTTTGATTGCGTTTTAATAGGGTACACTAAGAAGAAATTTTTCGAAAAATTCCCCCCACACGGGGGAAGTGTTATACATTTATAATAGATACATTTTGAGCCACAACAACGCGTGGCGGGGTCTGCTAGTATAATATATGTTGACAATTTAAAACAAAGAAAATGTAATCGAGAGGTGCCGAGGTGGCGGGACGAAAAGCGAGCGAGAGTAGCTCGAAGTAACCAGCTG